ACAAGCGTCATTCACCCCGACATCTCTCGAGGCTGCGAACGGGGACGACAAACGTGTGCGGGCCGAGATTCTTACCCTTCACGATGAGCTGCGCCATGACGAGGGCATAGTTGGCGGTCCGGCCGAGGGTTCCAATCCACCACTTGGCACTAGTGAGCTGGGGCGAGTGGATGATAAAGTCGCCCGTCTTCTCGTCCCACGTCGCCGTCGTCTCCAGTCCGCGCACATTGCTTCCATGACTGAGTTCCGTCTGGGCATAGCACCCGATGATCTTGTCAGCCTTAGCTGGCTCGAGGAAGAGCTTCTTCTGCTCATCCGTCGTCTGGTCGGTCAGGCACTTGATGAACGCCTTGTCGTGCAGCCCGTACACGTTCATCTCGCCACTGGCGCCAATGGCCGCAGTGTACGATGCATCGTCCCAGTTGTGCTGCTTCCGCAGGGCCTTCAGGTGCTTGCCCCGCCGGAGGGAGGATTCCATCTTCTCAACCCGCGATTGCGAGGGGAGCGCTGCGAGCTGTGCGTCGAAGCCCTCCTGCCGCAGAATCGCCTCGACGCGTGCCCGGAGGGCGAGCTGGTCCTCTCCATGCAGCAGCTTGGCCAGGGCGGCCGGGTCGACGGAGGAGTTGGAGCGCTCGGCGGAGAGAAGAGAGGGACCCTCGAGCTTGGCGGGGAGGAGGGCGGTGACCCAGTCGGGGATCGACATGGCTGCTGTCTTGCTTCTGATCGTCGGTCCGAGAGAGAGGTGTTAGAAAGGGGAGTGTAGAGAGGGTCTAGGAGGTGTCTAGGAGGATGGGATCGGTGTGATCGAGGATGGGCGGGCTCGATGATATATTGGGGGTTCCGGATGGATGAGGATCCGGTGGTGAGGGGTTAGCTTGGCACCATCGGACGTGCCCGAGACCTTCATAACCGGTTCCCCGCACCCATCGGGGAAGTGGAGCCCACCGCTTGCCCACTGTCCATACATCTAACACCTGGCCAGCACCATAGATGCATCCTCTTCTTGGTTTGTACGGCCAAAGTCGCGATGCATGCTAACGGATTAGTCCCCCTTGCTTTCGGACTATGCATCCTTGGCTGGATGCTGGATCCGTCATTGCTCGGTGAGCGGAAAGCAGCCTAGCCCCAGCCGAAACTGAACTACTGTAGCTGGGGAGACCGGCCCCCGAACAACACCTGTCATCAACGCTTAGTCTGGAATGCAATCCACCCCGCGGGGGCCGCGGAAAGCTTCAGTTCTTCACGAACAGGTGATTAGATAATAACTGGGTCACGGGGCACCATATACATTTTTCAAGAGAGCGTGGTAGTCAAGAGATATGGAAAATATCTTCACACCTGCATCTGTATCGCAGGGGAGATGATGGAGTGCGTCGGAGAAGGGGGACGCATTTTACTGAGTAGCGGCAGTGGGGACCTTGTCCTTCGTGTCGAGCTGGGGACTAGCGGGCTCCTTGGTGTCGGGCTCGCTGGCGGTGACACTCTTGCCCTGCTCGGCCTCTCCGGCCGGCTGCGCGTGGCCCGTGAAGGGCAGACGCTCCATCGAGTCGAAGGCGAGCGCAATCTCCTCAAGCGTGAACCCGTTCGTCTCGACCATGAACAGCTTGATGAGGATCCACTGCGCAATCAGGAGCGGGAGGTACACGAGGTAGTACCAGTACTTGATGCGCTCGAGGGCGATGCTGTCGACAAAGGTGACGTACGTGCCCTGGATCTGCTGGGCCTGGTTCCACACGAGCAGACCCTTGGAACGCATCGAGTACGTCTGCACTTCGGCGGGGTACGAGTAGATGATGGGGCAGGCAACGTTGAACACGCCGAGGAAGATCCAGACCAGCACGACAGTCGCGATGGCGGAAGAGTGGTCCGTGCCGCCGCTCTTGTCGTAACAAGAGCCCGAGACCGTGAGACCGACAAAGGTCAGGATCATGAGCGGCCAGCACCAGAGCAGGATGCGCTTCTTGCCGAAGAAGCGCTCCGTCATGACACTCGCAATCTGGCACACCCATGTGAACATGTTGAGGCCGGCCGCAATACCCGTCTGCACCGAGGGGTCGGTGATGCCGACACTCTCAAAGACGACCGTGTAGTAGTAGTAAATGATACTGGAGCCGGACATCTGCGTGCAGAACGTCATGAGGAGGGCGAGGCCCAGGCGGTGGCGGTTGGCGTGGGAGCGGAGGATGACGCTCCACTTCTCAGCCTTGGCGATGCGCTCAGACTCGATCGCGTCCTTCATCTCGTCAAACTCGAAGAGTACGAGAGGGTCAGACGTGTCGCCGTTACCGTGGTAGTTGGCGAGGAACTGGAGCGCCTCCTGGTCCTTGCCCTTGGAGAGCAGGAAACGGGGCGTCTCGGGAACAAACTGCACAGCGATGAGGATGTAGAACGCAAACGGCAGCTGGAGGATGTAGGGGATGCGCCAGCCCCACGAGTTCTTCAGGTACGAAGAGCCAAAGTTGACCCAGGACGAGATGACCATGCCGAGGATGTAGTAGCTGTTCCAGGACGAGGCGACACGCTGACGAGAGCGGGGGTGCGTGATCTCCTGCACGACGACGAGGGAAGTCATGAGGAACGCGGCGAGGCCGAAGCCAATGATGAAGCGGCCGACGACAAAGACGGCGTAGCCCTTGTTGCCGTGCGCACCCGAGACACCCGCGACACAAGAAATGACAGTACCAATCATGATGGTGTAGCCGTAAAAACGAATGCCCCACTTGCGGCCCCAGGTGTCATCGATGTACGAGATGATGGGACCAATGAAGAAACCAGAGATGGGACCGGCGGCGTTGAGGAGACCGATGAGCGCGGCACTGCGCGGGTTGTCCTCGGTCAGGCCGAGGTCCTCGTGCCACGAGTCGAAGGCTTGCAGACCCGAAATGAGCGTGCCATCGTCTGATCGTCAGCTCGTCCTAACCAATTGCGAAGCTGCATCAACTATACTCACATCCGTTAAGGACCATTCCAATGAAGATGATGCTCAGGAAAAAGTTGAGCTTGAGACGGCCCTTGTCCTTGTGCCATGGTGTGGAATCGCGAACGTTCGTACTGTTAAAGTCAGCCTAATCGCTCTCTCAGGAACCCCGCAGGCACCGTGCTAACTGGTGAGAAGATACCCAAAAGGCACTGAACACCACGTATGTAAGTACTTACATGTTACGCCAGTCTGTGACACTGGCTGCAGAGGAGCGTGAGCGTGACAAAAGGGGAGAGAGGCAACTAGCGACGCAGGCATTATCCTGGTCCGCTCAACGGTATGATCTCAGCACAGACTGCATGGGAGGCGGGTGTGAAAACCCGTCCGATCCACTGGTTGCAAGCCCGGCACCCGTGTTGCGTCTCGTCAAGTCTTTGTCGATTGCAGAGAAAAGACTTCCGAGTTGTACGCTTTATCGGATCATATTTGTTGCGGTTGAGAGGGGGGGTAGAGGTGCTTGCTTTGGCCGGATGAAGGCTTTTGCTGCGTCTTACTACTATCCTGACTGACCTGTGTTGGAGGACATGGTGAGGGGGGAGTAAGGAGAGAAGAGAGTAATGGATTGTGAGAAAAAAAGGAGGTCGAGTGGGGGGTGCAGGGTGGCGGTTTATATATATATTTTTGGAGGGAGTGAGCGATGGGATATTGGGATGTGCGGAGCAAGAATAGCCAGGGACACTGCTGATTCCGGCCCGGAGTGTGATTGGGTGGGTGAGCGGGGATTATGAGAGGGGCCACTCGATGAGGTCGGTCGGTCGACACACAGCGGGTCTCGACTCGGTTCTCTCTCTCTCTCTCATCGCGCCATTCGCAGATAGCAGCAACTTTGGAAGAGGACGGAGCGCCGATGCCCATGATCCGGTCGAGGATAAGGCCGAGGCTGCTGGACTGTCAGACTCACTCACTCCTGCGTGCCCTGTGCGTCGTCGTGCGTGCATCCCCGCATGCCCGCCCTCCTTCCTCTCTCTTCCCTCTCTCCGCATCGGTCTATACGCCGCACTCCAACTACTACTCGCACCATCCGTGTGCCGAGTGTTCGAGAGCGGATCGAGCGGAACTACCACTGCGCCCGAGTCCCTTTGCCCTTCCTTTAAGGTCCCCGCACTAAGCAATCCAGGAACCACCAAGCCACCATTGCCGAGCCCCTTTTTCAGGGTGAGCCTTGTGGTCACGTGATTGCTGTCACCTCCACTGTCACCGTCATCTGAGCAGCCCAGCGGCGGTGTCTCTCTGGTACTGCGGAACGAGGGAAGACACAAGGTCCATCAACAACTCCGACGCCGTACCCATCAACCAACCCTTTCCAACCAACGAGCACAATGCTAGTCCTCGGACATGGCCAGGCATTGCACATCCTGCTCCTGGCCACATACGTCTCCGCATTCTGGCCCTTCTCCTCTTCACAAGCGTCATTCACCCCGACATCACGGAATGACTCAAGAACAGCCGACCCCCGGCTGCAACGGGCGCCCTCGACCTCGCCCCCGGAGAAGAAGAAGGAAATGGCACAACTCCTAGACAAGTTTGCCCCCATCTTCAAACTTGCGTGAGTTAGCAGTACTCTGCAAGTGTAACTGACATCCCAGGTCGACGGAACGCTTCTACCCGAGCTCCGTCAAGTGGATGCTCGATCGGTACGACTACGTGGGTGGCAAACTCACAAAGCGGAGAGCTGACTCCGACAGATAGAGTACCTGAACCACACCAAGTTTGACCCGGTATGTACCCCCTAGTAGCTGGTCGCCTTGAAGGAGTAGCTGACGCCCCAGTTACCCGGAACACTGTCGCCCGGCGGCCTCGGCTCGCTCGAGTACATGGAGTCGCCGAAACGGATGCACCTCTCGACCGAGCATCCCGCCAACGCCCAGCCGATATTCAACACGGAGCCGAGTTACTTCATGTACGGCCCGGCGGGACAGGAGGGCGCTCTCGAGATGGGCCCAGATGGACGGGGGAGGGTGCATGATGAGGTGTACGGGTTCTGGGTCGACCAGGGGCACGGCGTTGTCGTGAGTCCTCAGCTCGATTGATGGAGCGGAAAGCTGACGACAGGATCTGTGGTATTGGACGTGCGTGCTGGTCGATTTTCGCAAGCTGACAGCAGGTTCTACCCGTACAATCTGGGCAAGGAGGTCGGATACCTCGGCTGGCTCGGAAATCGTGAGCTGAGTCAGTTGGTGGCAGCTGACATCAGACGTGACGGACTGGGAACGCCTGCGACTGCGCACCATCAACGGATCAGCCGTCTCGGCCGACTTCAGTAAGTCGTCTCCATCACAGCTGCACATCAGTTGGCCAGCTAACCCCAGACACGCACAGCGGCGGCGCCTTCTCCGCCGGCACATACCGGTGGGAGGACGTAGAAAAGATCGACGGGCGGCCCGTCGCTTACATCGCGCATGGCAGCCACGGTGTTTGGCCCAACGCGGGCAAGCACGTGTACGCGCAGCTGCTGAATCTCTGGCAGCTAGTGGATGTATGCGACGACCGCGGAGCCCTGTGGGACACAAAGGGGCATGTTGTGCCGATCGAGTTTTGGAACGGGCCAGAGTATGGACACCGTATCGAGCATACGGGAGACCAGTCTTGGCTCGAGTTTGAGGGGAAATGGGGCAATGTCGGGGATGGGTGTTGGTATGAGCCCTTCATTGGGATCTGCCAGTTGATCGCTGGGCCGCCGGGGCCAAATCGCGAGTTTGGCATTCCGCCGAGTGTAAGTGCAAGCTACCACCGAGCGCACAGCGTTAGGTGGGCAATGGAAGTTGTTCGACGCCTGCCATGTGTGCAACATCACTCCCAGCTCAGCGTTGAATCGGCTAGCTGACGCACAGTGTATCCTTGCGCCCCCCGCCGACGCCGGGTCGACGTTCAAGTTCTACCTCTCCAACTGGGTCGTGTGGCAAGCCCAGGACCTGAACGTGACGCACGTCCTGCTCGAGCAAGTTTGCACACGGCCCAGTATGGGTGCCTCGGCTCGAGACCCTTATTCTGTCGCCCCGCTCGAGGTCCACGACCGGCTCCCCTTTGACCCCGAGGATCGATTCTACGAGGCCACAGCAGCGCGGTGCGAGGGCGGACGATCAGCAGCTAAGGGATACCGACTCGCTCTGTACCGGGGCGAGGAAAGGGTCAGCACGAGCCCCGTGCGGGTCATCTGTGTCTATGACGAGGGACAGGGAGCGTACATTGACAGTCCGGGCGTGGACGTCATGGACTGGGATGACTGGCGCTGGAAGCTGGTGATCGACAAGTAGTCGCCAACCCGGTCCGCAACTCGCAAGCTTCCACGCCACATCTGATCGCAAAAGTGCACATCGTTTCTGCTCCCGGCGCGTGCTGCCGTCAACCCCCGGTTGCCCGAGACGGAGTATCTCGCTCCACGGGACAGCGAGGCAGCGTGGGAAGAAGCGAGAAGCGAGCGGTGCGCATGACAGTTCGGCGAAGAGGCACGATGGTGGTAGAAGTGCTCGGTGTGGGATGACGTTGACGACCGACGAAGGTGCGAGTGCCTTTCAGCTCTCAAGTCGATCTTCGTTCGAAATGTTCACGGTGTAATAATCAGATTAGAAACCAACTTGTAGTGATTAGGACTAGTTGTAATGCCATTCTTGCATGCGAATAACCGCGGAGATGGCTGCATCTCCGCCAAGGATCGGAAGATAAAGCAGCCACCGCGGGGGGGCTATGACGAAAAAGATCTCCCACCATTCTCTGACCTTCCACTACACCTTAAGTCTCAATAATGTTCGCCCGCAGCCTCCGTCCCGCCGCGCGCAGCCTCCGCGTTGCCACTGCCGCGCCCCGCGCCGCCCCCTCTGTCGCCCGCTCGATCCGCTTCAAATCTTCCGAGGCCGGCCCGAACCAGGGCGCGACCGCGCCCACGGGCGGCAGCTCGGACGGCGCCCAGCTCCTCATGGTGCTCGGTGCCGGAGCCGCGCTCGCTGTCGCTCTCAGCATCACCGAGAAGCAGAGGAAGGACCGCACCGCCCCCAACCCCGACAGCAAGAAGGGCGAGGAGGAGATCGAGGAGGAGGACGAGGTGCAGGATGCCGACGAGGGACAGCCGGAGGAGGGTCCTAGTGAGTACGCCGGAGCCGGGGGGGCGAGCGCAACGAGACGAGCGCCCGAGGCGAGGATTCAATCATTCCCAGAGAGTACGCAGACGTAGACGGAGCAGCTGGAGAGTCAGTGGGAGTCGGTCGCCCGGTCTTGGCTCGCGACGGAGACGGCTGCGAAATCGTAATTCGGAGACTCTCAGCCATGACCCCGGTGGAGGCGGGTGGAGGTGTTCGGCCGACGCAAGCGACCCCTGGAGGCTTGGTCATGTTGGCCCTTTGCTGAGTGATCGTGCCGCCGCCGTCGCCGTCTCGACGCCGATATCGTCTCCGGGGCTGGTGTGCATGACTCCGTGCCTTGTCGTCGACGATGATGTCACCGTCGCTGTCCTCCACTACCACCATGCCCACCGCCCGTCTTCACCTCACTGCGATCTCTGTCGGCGCTTCAACGCCCGCTCATTCCTCGCTCCGCTCGGGACTCGCTCGGAACTCCGCTAACACCCAGACGCCTCCGAGGTCAACGCGGCCAAGGACTTCGTGCACGAGGTGGACATCCACCTTGACGCCTTGATCGACAACGCCGAGCGCGCGCTCAAGGGCGACTACACGCCGAACCCGAACAGCAAGATGGCGCCCGTGTCGCCCGATGCCGAGGCGCAGGGCGCGTACAACGAGGAGACGGGCGAGATCAACTGGGACTGCCCCTGTCTCGGCGGCATGGCGACGGGCCCGTGTGGCGAGGAGTTCAAGGCCGCCTTCTCGTGCTTCGTCCACTCGACCCAGGAGCCCAAGGGCATGGACTGCATCGAGCAGTTCAAGGGCATGCAGGAGTGCTTCCGCAAGCACCCCGATGTCTATGGCGAGGAGATCGCCGACATGGATAACGAGGGACCGGCCTAAATCCGGGTCCGACGTGGGCCCGCGCCGAAAGCGGGGGCGAGCAGGTGGTGATGAGGACGAGGAGGAGGATGGGATCCGGCCGTCGCTCTCGTCCGCGAGCCATCTCTTTGGCTCGCGCGAGAACTCGACGCTGCTCAGCCTGCGCTCTCGCGGAGAAGGAGAAGAAGGACAAGGACAGCACCCCGGTCGGCAGGCCGCGTGTGCCCATGGACACCGCAAAAGTGAATATAAACATCTAGAACCGATGGCAAAACAAAGACAAATTGAATCACACTATGCTTCGACGACCGTATTGAGTAGTAAACACTGACTGACTGATCTGACGGCAGCGATCGATGCGGAGATATGTCGACAAACTTGTCGCGTTGGACGGCAGACACCGAGCGGCGAGCAGCGACGACTACAAGCTACAGGACTCTCCTGAGACTGTGGCGGTTTCCGTGTCTCGGGGCTGTCTCGACGGTGCCAGGCTAGGCTACACTCCTTAGACTGTCGCGCCCGTTCACGAGGATGGTCCGCGGGCAGGCTGGCAGGCGAGCGGAGCTGAAACTGATATGAACTGATGCAGCCACGAAACACCTTCCCAGCACCTGAGCATCGGGGACAGCGCATGGCGCGCATGGCTCGCCCGGCGCACATAGCTGATCGCCCAGGCAAAGGAGACCCCCAAACTTGCTCTCCTGGCAACAGTCGCCGCAAATGCGAGAGCGCCGCGACGATCGGAAAGGCGCCCTACCAACCGGCTGGATGCCCAGCGTGCCCAGCCCGACGAGCCGACGAGCGCGCGAGCGCGTTGAGCATGCCCATCCGCCCATCCGCTTCTCTCGGGCCCGCTTTGGGCCTTCTTTGGGCATCCTTTGGGTCCCTCCCCGCCTTCTGCACGACTCCTTGGCCTCGCGCATCCGGCGATCTATTGTTCTGGCCATCCTTCGGTCAGTGGCTGGGAATGCGCACTGGTCCTGCGCCCCCGAACCAAACAAGTCTTGCTGCGTCTCGGCGCGCTCTTGGTATTGTCGGGGGCGCCATTGTACGGGTTGGAGGGCCTTGGAGGACAAACAATGGATGCTGAGAGGAGCTGCTGCTTGAGGAGAACGACAGAACATCTCTCATCACCTCTCATCACTCACCGTCTCATCGTCGTCTTGACATCAGACTCACATCACTCGCAGCTGCTACATCGGCATACCTTTCAAGGAGTGGACGGCGCCTCGTTCACGCTTCAACCTTCGTCTCCATCAAACCTTCCATCAACGAAACTCTCCAAACATTCCAACTACCCGACCCGACACGCCACCAGACAACATGGCGCCCACGTCGACGACGTCCGCCCCCTCAATGCCAGTGACAGTCCCGCTCCGCCCCGTCCCCGCCGTGGGCTTCTTCAACGCAACCCTCATCCCCCCCGACGCCATGATCAGCTACGCCATCTGCCGCTCGCTCAAAGTGTGGTACGCGCCCGAACGTCCCCGTCCCTTGGACCTGAAGAGCGAGCATTCGTGCTGTTCCTCAGTCCAGGGGGCTTGGAACGAGACGCTCGGCTGTCGTCTCGTTAATGAGCAGGGCAAGCCATTCGAGGACTGTCTCCGTGGTCTGGACGGCACCACTCCCTCCTCGTCGGCGGTGGTGGCGAGCGCGACGTCGGGCTCCGCAAACGCAACGCAGACGCAGACGCAGACGCAGGGCAACAACAAGCGCAAAATCGCCATCGAGCGCGGCTGGTACACGAAACGCCAAGAGGGAGGCGGTAACGAGACCAACCCCAGCGACAACCCCAGCACCACCAGTCCTCCGAGCACCACGAGCGATATGCCAAGCACCACAAGCAATCCCGCAAGCACCACCAGCGAGCCGCCCGACACCACCGGCGTCCCCGGCGACGGCGGGCCAGAGACGCCCGGCGACGGCGGTCCCAGCGGGTTTGACGGTACGTTCCTTTCCCAACTTAGCTGATGCCAGATACATCGAGCTCGTCTGGCCCCACCAACCCTCCAACGACAAGCAACCCCCGCCCGACGGGCGGACCCACTTCGGGTCCCACAAGCGGCCCAAGCGGCCCCAACCCCCAGAGCAGCACGTCCTCCTCCCGCTCGTCCGGCACCACCTCTCGTCCGACAAACGGGGGCGGCTGGATCGGCGGCGGCGCGTCCGACGCAAACCGAACCTCCGACTCTCCCTTCGCGACAACCACAACTACAACCACGACCACGACCGATTTCGCAACGACAGTGACTGAGGGTCCGGCGCGGACTACGATTCGCGAGCCGGCCAATTCGCAAGAGGCCACCCTCGGTGATCTTCTCGGCGACACGCCGGGTGTCTCGCGCCTCGCGATCTGTAAGAGCTACTCCGAGGCGCTGCTCGATGCCACTGAGCAGCTCGTCAATGACCTCAGCGACTCGTACATCCCCCTCGACCCGAGCACGGCGCTGTGTGTGGCCTACGTTGGGCCCGCGGCGGAACTCACGTGGGAGCCGCAGACGTGGCCATCGTATATGAGCACGGGCAACCGCACCAGTACCAACACGACCTCCGCTGCGTCCGCTGCCTCCGCTGCTTCCTCTGCCGGCACCCCCTCCCCCGCCCCCAGCACAACCAGCGGAAGCCAAAGCGGCGCCTGGGGCCCCAAGCACACCGAAGTGCTGACGGACGTGTACGCGGCCGGCCTGGCCAGTGTATCCGCCTGCTGCGCGCCAGACGGCAAGCTGCGCTGGCCGCCGCTGGCCAACTCGCCGTGCGCTTTGCCGAACAATTCAAAGACGCTCGACGCCTTTGCCGGCTGTGTTGCGGCCATGGGCGCGTATGCTGTTTGTGGCGAGAATCGCACCGGGCAAGACGGCGCCGGCGCTTGGAGCTGGAAGAGCGAAAGCGGGAGCGGGAGCGGCGGCGGGGCGCCGCGCCGCGGCGTTGCGGCCGGTCTTCTACTCGCGCTCGTTGGGGCGGTTGCGGCGGTGCTCTAGTCGCCGACTCCACGCTGTCGACCCGCACGTCCCGCACAGCCCATTGAAAACGAAACGTCGACTAGGACGAGACCGGCCTGACCGCCGCGCGAAGAACGAGCGCCAATGCAACCATGCTTCGTAGATTGTTTCCACCCTTCACCCTCACTGTCTATAGCGCCTCGCCCTCAACTGTGTTTATCGATTGAATGCTTATCTATCTCGTCAAGTTTCATTAGGCGCCGGGAATCTGCCCGGCTTGGCGTTGCTCTATAATCGTATCTGCTCCTTCTCTCTCGCTCACCCCTTCCCCTCCTTATCTATCGCTTCTCTCCCACCAGGTCTGCTCCTCCACCTTCACCCTCACACTATCCTGTGCCTTCTCCTCCTCTCCTCCCCTCTATAATCTCGTAATGTTCCCAAGCCCAAGTGCCCATGCCTCCCACGCTCTGTATGTATACTGCATGACTGCGCAATGTCACAAAGTGTCGGGGCGCTATGCTATTGACAATGACAGAGTGGTTACTGGGAGAAGAAGGGGGGCTTCTTAGAGTGCACCGAGCGCGGCGACGGCGAGGGCAGCGAGCGCGAGGGCGGTCTTCCTGTTGGCGCCGGGGGCGGCGGCCGACTTGGCGACGTTGGCAGCAGCGGAGGGCGCGGCAGTGGGCGCGGCAGTAGCGACGGAGCTCGTGCAGACGGCGTACGCGTCGTGGTTCTCCTGCAGCACTCTTCGTACTTGGCCCTGTCTGCGTCGGCGAGCATGCACGTCTCGGGGGTATGTTTGTCCTCGTCCTTGGCCTGTTTCTGGCCGTTGGCGGCGGTGCAGCACTCGGCGGCCGACTCGTTGCGCCCGCCAAAGGGCGAGCAGGCAATGTGCCCCTCGGCAAGCGGGGACGACCACCATCCCTCGCCGACCTGGAGCTGCTTCAGCGCCTCGTCGTACGTCGCCTGGTACGACTTGCACGCGCGCTTGCGGCCGCCGTTCGAGATGCCAGACGCATTGTCCGTGCACGTCGTGAAGGTGCTCTGCTGCGCCGAGTCCTTCAGCGAGAGGCGGCAGCCCCAGATCGGGCACCGCACACCAGAGGCTGAGGCGCAGCACTTGTCAGTCGCCTCGTCGGTTGAGGCGACGCACACGGTCCAGTCGTCCGCGGAGGAGAGGGGGACGGCGCTCACGAAGCAAGTCTCCCGCAGTATCCTCAAGGCGGCCACTTGCTTCGTGAGCATGTAGTTGTCGCCCTCGTACGTGACACTGGGCAGCATTTCGGCGTACAAGTGTCCGATGCCCGAGTACTGCGCGTAGCCGTGTCCGCCACATGCGCGACGGCACGTCTCGATGCCCTCGACGGAGATGGTGGTGCCGTGGCTCTTGAGCGCACAGGACTGCACGTGCAGCTCGGCGAGGAGGGCCTCGGCCTGCTGCGTCTTGCCCGCGGAGAGGAGCTTGTCGTAGTTGGCGTACAGGTCCTTGAGTTCCTGGCACGCGAAATAGAGCGCATAAGAAGTCGCGATGAGGGGGAGGAGACGCTGCTGCACAAGGCTGTAGTTGAGCACAGCCGTCTCGCCGTCCTTGGGCTTGTCCTCGTCCGCGAACTGCTTCCGGATCGCAGCGTAGCGGATCGCAATGGCGCACGCGCGCGCGAGCGTAGTCGCCGCGTCGGCAGCAATGCCGACGCGGAGGTACGTCATGCCGCCGTACACGAAGGCGGGCGAGCCGCGGCGCTTGTACTCGCCCGTCTTGGGGTCGACGTACTGGAAGCGGGCGAGCATGTTAACGTAGGGGATGCGGACATGGTTGAACAGCACAAAGCCGTTGTCCATGGAACTGGGCGTTAGCGCGAGCGGAGCGAGCTAGCGAGCGATGGTCCGCATTGTGTTCACTGGCCGGAGCGACTTACTTGTAGCCAAACTTGGGTCCGATGTCGCCCACGTAAACGCCCTCGAGGGGCTCATGTGTCTCGAGGCTGCGAACGGGGACGACAAACGTGTGCGGGCCGAGATTCTTACCCTTCACGATGAGCTGCGCCATGACGAGGGCATAGTTGGCGGTCCGGCCGAGGGTTCCAATCCACCACTTGGCACTAGTGAGCTGGGGCGAGTGGATGATAAAGTCGCCCGTCTTCTCGTCCCACGTCGCCGTCGTCTCCAGTCCGCGCACATTGCTTCCATGACTGAGTTCCGTCTGGGCATAGCACCCGATGATCTTGTCAGCCTTAGCTGGCTCGAGGAAGAGCTTCTTCTGCTCATCCGTCGTCTGGTCGGTCAGGCACTTGATGAACGCCTTGTCGTGCAGCCCGTACACGT